TCCCATTAAAATGACTATTTGATCTGCACACAATGCCACAGGAACTCAACTCCTCATGCACGTTCAGGAGGCCATGGAGCGGAGCTGGCATGCTCCATCCTCCAGGTCCGACAGGCGAGTCTCAGAGTCCAAGAGACTTGCTCTGCTCCAGGGGAAGGCCAGGGCTGGCTACTCAGCAGATGACTCAACGAGACTTGGCAGAGGCCAGCAGCGAGCCCCCTACGGCAGGGCGATTCGTGGGACGTACCGAATCGAACTCGGGTACGGGAGCCAGCACAACTTTGGGAAACGGAGCTGGAGTCTCTCCTTTCTTTTGCATCATGAAGACAAGTTTGAAGTAGCTTCTGATAAAGCTAGAAAGCAACAGGGCTGCAGCACATGGGTACGTGAATAAAATTAGATTGTATTAAAGAAACAACCAGCCAAACCAAACTCTTTCTCCCCTATCAAGACCTCTCACAACTGTCCTCATCACCGTGGAATTTGAGTGCCTTCCAGAAGTGTATTAATCAACATGGCTTTCATTTGTCATGCGGAGGTCATCCACCCTCCCGCAGGGTCTAATTTGGCCTGGAGAATTCAGTTTATCTGCTGACGTAGGGAGAAAAATATTAATAAAAGTTTGACTTTCAAACCTTGCTTGTGTGAAAGAATCATGACTTTTCCATTTACAGCAGTTCAGCTAAATTCCTTCCCCATGCCGATGACGAGTATGTCCAATGACTTCATGTTACACTTTTAAGCTTTACAGAAGTACAGCTGCCCAGCTGGCCAACTAATAAATGGAGCATAAAGGAAGCAATATATTAAGATCTTCTTTACTGGATTAAAGTTTGATCTGGGCTAATGAAGAGCCAGCCAGGAAGTAATTTCTTCATTAGGGTATTGTTTCAGGAAAAGTTAATTATAAACCAGGATGCTCTCATGGATAAGTGGAAGTGATTAGCTTACCTGCTTTTGCACAGGGCAAAATCTCCTTCTTCAGTCTCCTCCTCTTCAAAGTCATTCGGTTGCGTTCTCCAACAGGCACAACCACTGACAAATTTACCACCGACAAAGGCAGGCAGCAGAAGTCCTTCAGGGAAGCAATCCCCCAAGAGCCAACCACTCTGGACCAGGCCATCTCTAGACAGATGTACAGTAACACGACTCTATTTTGTGGGGAACTTCCTTTTCCAAGGAAGTCGTGCACTTCAACTTTTCTTTTACAGCATCCTTGCAATTGGTTTCCATGGTGATCTTTCCAGTTACCAGCAATGAGAGAACACGTCCCAGACAACATCTGCTCCAGGTCCTCACACATTCCCCCATCACTGCCTGATGCAGCAGATGTCTAGCTTCAGGCTGGTTCTCCATGCAAAGGACTCCAAAAATACCACCAAGAACCAAAGGACTTACCATGTTATTATAAAAGGTCCATCAGGATGGAATACAAAAGGTAGAACTAGTGGAGACGATCATGAAAGAGGAAATGTAAGGTGTTTCTGAAGGGCAAACAAGCCTCCTCTTTAAAATAAGGAACCTTTCAAAGCATAAGGTGGCTTTTTTACACCCCTTTTCTCTGCCGTTTCCTTGTCTGGTCCACCTCACCCGCACATCCATCCATCATGCTTCCCACTTCAAGTTCAGTTTGTAGACAGTACATCTACAGGCAAGCCACAGCCAAAGGTCTGCCATTGTATTTATTTGATGATGAACAAGGTGCAAATAAACAATGATCAAAGCTACTTTCAGTTTCTAGAGACAACAGACAACCATGCTGCCCTTTCCCAGTTTCTGAAATAGCAGCTGTGACAGCTGGCCTTTTGTGAGACTCAGTCATCCATTTCCAATCTTAATGATTCCTAGTTTTTACTTTCATTAAAAATAATCCAGCCACCAAGCCAGGAAACATGAAATTGCTACTCTACCCTTAATTGGTTTAGTGGTGGACTTGGTAATGTTAGGTTAATGGTTGGACTGGATGATCTTAAAGGTCTTTTCCAACCTAAACGATTCTACGATTCTGTGATTTGGCCTCTACACAATAATCATTGTGCGGGGTGGGCATGGCAAATCAAAGAACATTTCTGATTAACAAATAAAAAAAGCCTGCTCCTATAGGGTTAAAAAAAAAAAAAATTGTTCTGCCTTCTTTAGAATTCCAAAGATTTGCAGAACTTACCCTAAAAGTCTTTGTGTAGCAGTGGATTAAGAAGAGATGACTCCACTCTGGAATCAACACAAGACAAGCATAATTTCCTCAGTCTTCAGAAAGAAGTTTTGCGCGCTGGAACCAATGACTCCAAATGTCAACAGCCTCCTTCCATAGAACTATAAACACTGGATGCTTTGCACCCAGCACGAGCTTTATCTGACCTGATGACAACAAGGAATGGCAGTGAGTCAGCTTCACTAGCATTCCTCATGAAGAAATCAAGAGAAGGATGGATGGTAACGCTGCTAGAGTACAGGGCTGAGGAGGAGACCTGCCTCCTTTAAACCTGGCCACGCAGGACCTAAGTTTCAGAAGTTCTGAGAAATATCAGCTCCTCCTGACTTCATCTGGAATTGCAGGTGCTCACTCCTCTGCGGAGAAAAGTCAAACAATCTCATGCTGTTCCTCTACAAAACTTTCTTTCACACACCCCCCGTGTGCAAAGCAAAGAGAATGTTTGCTTTACGATATTTCGGAAAGCAGAGTGTAAACTCTTTGTGCGACTCAAGAGCAGCATAAAACATCCACGCAGAGTCTTCAGATCACACATTCTGATACACTAAAGCATGCCTGAACAGAAAATTTCTTAACAGAAGCAAACACTTCTCCCTTAGCAAAGGAAAAACACTACAATATTATTACCAAACGAGGAATTACAGCTACTTGTCGCTGAATCTCTCAAGCTGCAACTCTAGCAACTCTCAGAATGACAGCAACTGTTAGATTACTTTGGTTGTTAGTGAACATTTTTAAGCGAGGTAAAACATAAAAAGATTTGCAGCAGCTCTTCTGTTGCTTTGAAAGGTTTTACAACATGTACTTCTACTTAGATGAGGATGGGTTGAAAGGGACTGCCTCTACCTTTCTTCGATTTGCAATGTGCTTGATTCTTGGCGCCTATGCTTTTGTTCGGGAGCAACACACTGGCACACTATGGACGTTTAAATAAAAACAACCATCAGCTGTGTTATCTGACTGTAAGAAGACTTCCAAGCATCCCGTGAGGCATCAGCACGGCCCTTAAGCTCTGTTTTTTTCATCAGCTGAACACTTAAAAGCATATTTAAGCAGCTAACTGGCTTTAAATGAGCACTCAGTGAGGCAAGAGCTTGTCATGACTCCAACACAACCAAATTCCTTGCTGCAAGGAAAAAAGTCTATTCATATGTATACTGGAGAATCGCATGAGAAATCTCAGTACCAGTAAGTTTTAGCACCTTCTGCTTCAGCGACGTACAAAGCTGCTTTCGAGCCCCAGAAGAGCGCTTGGAAAGGCAAAGCGGCAACTTGCATCCAAACTGATCCCAAGGACGAGTTAGTGGAAGGAGCAAATAGGTAAAAACAGATTTTGAAAAGTGAAAAGCTCTAAAGAGATAAACCATTCTCTCAGCTGATTTATCACAGCCGTGTGATACTGTGTTGTTTTTAACCTGCACTTTTAGCTTCGGATTTCTGAGACCAGATCAGATGTGGCCTTCCGACATATTAGATCATGGTTTCATGGTGGTTGGGTTTTTTGCATGTTATTCTGATAAGAATACCTCCAGATAAATTATAAATCTTACACCCAGATATATTCTCACACTTGATTGCCTTCTGACTCTGGGGTAGGGTATAACAGCTACTTTAATAGCATATGGTACCACCAGCACAGGGCAGTTTGAAAAATACTATGCCAAATCTTTGCCTAGTGTAATTTAGTGTACTTCTGCTGACCTTCAAGGGAATCACATTATTTCTCATCATTTGAGGATCTGATTCATTACATCCCAATGTGAACTCCAGGGGCAACTGGCAGAGCTGGACTGTAGCCATCGCCGGATGGCTTGGCCAAGGGGTGAAACAAGAAGTTCTCTGAAATTCTTAGTGAACACAATAGGCCAAAATCTCTGAGTTGTGCCTCACCCTCCACAGAATTGGGCGTACAGTTACAGCTGTTCCTTGAACTGAATTACTATGAACATCTTAAGTAAAAAAAAATAGGAAACCACTGTTCACACCCACTCACTTTTCCTCAGATGTCTCTTCCTGTTTATACATCATATGAACTCCACTGTTACAAGCAAATGAAACTGAGACTTCAGGCTTCTATCACCAAGAACCACAATCTTTGTATTTCATCTTTTGCCACTGTGATGCCAGTTAAGTGTACAAGCAAGTATCCTGTCAGAACGCAAGCATCTAATGAAGTGAAGGGGACTCTCCCAGGCAAGGCTTAAAAACTTCCAACATCATACAAATTTTCCCCGATTAGACTCTCCTGGTTCATACAGAAAGACAGCAAGGCAAGCAAAAGGTCAGTGAAGTCACGACTCCTCCACTCTTTCAGTGCTAGTAACGTCCAGTTTAAACAGCCATTACAGTTACCTTGTAAGTTCTTAAGTTCTGTGTTGGGTAGAGTAAGAGGTGATTATGGCCCGGTTTCTTTAGATGTTGTCCATACAGACTGCGAAGAAACATTTCATGATTGCTGCAATAGTTACTACAAACTGATCTGATGTTATTTATTTAAGGGGTTTTTGCAGTACAAAACATTACAAGTAAGTTTTCTACATTGAGATAGGAAATTAAAAAAAAAATCATTGTTAAAAACAATTTAAAATAAATATATAGAACTGCTATTCCAATCAGGTAGTTATAAATATATTATGAACCAAGTACTTCCAAACTATGTTTACTTTGGAAGTGCATAACACCGCTACAAAACCCAGCCATTTATTTAAAAACCTGACATTCATATCAAATCATTGATTCTTAAATACAGCAAGATTATATTAGTACAAAAATGACACAAGTGAATACCACCAACCATGCACTGCACAAACATTTACTGTATTATCTTCTTCACGTGACAATCTCCTTCACGCTGCAAGTTTACTAAGCACAATACACCTTCGTTTGAACAGATCTTTATCAGTTCCAAGGCACCTTCCTCCCTAAGACACGGTTGGTGATTTTCTGAAAAATAAAAACCAAACCGAGAGAGATGAGTATTCTTCCTCTAAAAATTAAAACCACTAAGCATGAAGGTATTGTTAATAAGTTTTCTGAACAGAATATCAAGGGGTAATACAACACTAAGAAATGGCTATTTACACCTTTTAGGACAGCTAAAGCAGCCTAGCTTTTTCTCACTCATTGGTATGAAAAATACCAGGATATCCCTGTGCTGGCTGCTGTGGAAATAAATGGTCAGAAACAAGTCCAAGGAGTCAAAATACATCTTGACATTAGCTGACAGACTGTTTCCCCAAGTAACCACAATGCATGTCTTGCTCTTTCTGAACACAAACCTGTGGGCATCGTGTGTTCCCCACTTTGCGATACATTTATGAAAGGACACGGGAAAGCTAGAAGAGTTACAGAGAAGAGTAACGAGCATAGTGGAAGACACAGAAGGTGTTTTCTACAATAAAAAAAACTGAATAAATTAGGACTCTTCACTACAGTGGGAGGGATGAGCCGTGACTGAAGGGGAAGAGATGAAAGTCTACACAATCCTAAGCAGCCTGAAGCAAGTGAAAAGGTCATGGTTTTTTGCAGACTCTTCCAAAGATTATCTGGGGAGGCTTCATATAAAATAGCTGGCAATAGATTTTAAAGAAAAACAAAACGAAACAGAAAGGCACAGAATACTTTGTGTGAAGAGTCACAGCCTCGTGCAGTCCAACTGTGGAGCTCTGCCCTGTGGTGCTGCGAACACCCGACGTTTACACTTCACAAAGCAAGTGGACAAATTCATTAAAAAAAGAAAGAAAAAAAAACCCCACACCAGCCCAAAGATGGATTCAAAGCCCCTTAGACATAAATCACACCAGACTGCTAGAGCATCTTTGAGAAGTACTGCTAATGCTGGCTCTGTTACGGTATTCTTCCCCAGGCACCTGCGAGCGAGACCCACTCTTGTGGCAACAGGCAATCCAAATACTGAAACGCCACATCATTCTGGTAGCTCAGCCGGCAGATCGCTGACGTTTCGAAGCATGGAATAGATATTACGTGGCTTTATAGAAGTGTACGATAAAGTAAGAGCTTTGGGTAACTCGCATTTTACTAACAGCAGTGGGAAGGATACACCCATTACCTAATGAGACCTTTTGCATCAGACAGATGAATGCAACATGGAGCTCAGCTCTTTATACACGCACAGAGTGTGCAGTATATGTGTGTATACGATATACACATAGTATATATAGTGTATATACCAATACAGAATATACTCTGCTTACATACACAGATATAAAAAGAAGCAAAGCTGCTGACACGAATCTTGGTCTGAAATCTGTCCCCAATACTTCATGAAGCCTCAGAAGGGCTCAAAACACCACACAATCTCTGAACAGTCCTTACAGCTCACAGGCCCTTTTGCAATCTAACAAGCAAACCCAGCTAGCAATTAAGATGCTATCTCCCCTCTTTGCTCCACTTCCAGGAAGCGACTATAAAACAAAAACCCTTAACATGTTGCTGACAGGAGGGAAAATGTAGCCAAGGGGATGAAAAACAAACATTAAAAAGAAAAAAAAATACTGTAAAGCAGCAAGCAAAGTGCAGTTCAGTTTTACACCTCCAGAAGCATGTGGTTTTTCCTTTGGGGTAGTGACACCTTGTGGCCCCTATCTTGCATAAGCTCTAAAGGACACGTCCCATCCACAAATAAAATAAAGTGTTTAGTGTTCCTGAATGCTAATATCTTTTTTCTTTTTTAAGGGGTAGAAAGAAGTACATAAATAAATAACTTTTCTATCCCCTTTATGGAGGTTTCTCCCACGCTCCCTACTTACAAAAATGGCAAATTCACCGCGTCTAATAGAAAAGCTTCAGTAATGGAATAAATTTGTATCTGATAAACTCATAAAATTCATTTTCACTTCACTGGGGTTGAAAGAGTTCTGATTTATGCTGCCATCAGATCAGAAAGCTGTCTCGACTATACAGTTTTCAAAATTAAAGGGCATGCACCATTCCCTCATCTGACTGGTATAACTTTATGCTCTATTTGAAATTAAAAATACAAAAGCAAAGGCATACCGGGACAGAACATCAGCCCAGACCCATGTGCATCCTGTGATAAGAATCTCCTCAGGATACATTTGTAAGAAGCTGATGTTCATTTTTCTTTCCTGAAGTACCAACCCATAAATCATATCAATATGCAGTTATACTTAACATACCTCGCAGTTCTGGTGTGAGGATTTCACTTGTAGGCGATATTTCTGCAAACACTTGTCCATGTTGATGTACATGCAGGTATGAGGGTGTGTACATGTTTAATGCATTGCTTCCTTTCCCAAATATGAATCACCCCTAACCTGTGAGCCCTCAACACCCTATACGAGTGGCACGCACGCTGTACTTCTTGCTAATCCCATCCTCAGAGCCAGCTGTACTGCTATTAGTGAGGAGTACGCCTAGTTTTACTTTTATATGTCTACTCCTTTGGAATCAGTGACAGGAATAGAAGCAGAAATTCAGCCAAGAAAATACAAGTGTAAGCCACAGACACTCCAAAACAGGATGCCTCAGCACAGAGTTTCACCAGCAGTTTAACTGGAGCTGCACTCTGAACTGGAGTAGCTGGGGCATGAGTACATCCTTCCCCCCATCAAGATGACCAGTGCTAGCCTGTCAAAATCCAGAGGAGGACAAAGAATTTTCATCAGGAACAGGTCACGCCACCAAGCACCGACCTGGGAGTCGGAGATCGGCTCCACCATTGACCCACACACAAATTTGAGCAGGGCGCTTGACTGCCTCCCTCTCCTTCCCCAAGCTTTGTCTGGATGTACGCCAAACAATCCTGGAAGGAACTGTCCCCTGCTAGGCTTGTGTAAGGCACAACAGGACTCCTCTAGGTGACTGCAATTAAAATAAGAGTCGGATCTATTCCAGAGTACTGATCTGCTGTTCCACATCAGCAGTTCATAAACTCGTCCCTACGAGAGATACTCAGACCACAGTTTGGCTACAGTGCTACAAGATCACTTAAATGATACAACCCTAGATTACATATGTTTTTAGTCTAGCTTTTGCACCAGCCGTTTTCTTCTCCTAATACTCTGTGTCATCTTTGGAGTCATTCCACAGAATCTGTGGTTCTTTTTCTCATGCACAATCAGATCCGCTTCGAAACTGATGCTCTCAGCAACACATTAGCCAAATTCTAAACAAACCATTCACTGTATTTACAGCTACTCACTACAGCTATTCTGCATCATCAAGGAAGACAAAAAGATTACAATATTTACTGCAATGAATCATCATCCCTGTTCCAATCAAAACCACACGTGCATACAAAAATTCTGATCCGATTCCCTCTCTGCTTCCAGCTGACTACGCTACTTAAGTTGACAACTGCCAGCATTCATTAACTCTCAGACCTTACTGTACCAGCATCTGAGATTCTCAGAGTAGTGGGGGGGGGGGAAGAAAAAAAAAGAAAAAGTCCTCAATATACCCTGCAAAAGCATAGCATCAAATTCCAGTAATTCTAGTGGTAAGCACCCACAATCAGATTAGGAAGGTATTCTGGATAATACATTGTGTTACAAGCCCTGACTTTTAAAATGCAATTACTGCTGTTTCCAACAAATAACTAACCCTATTATTCCAGCTCTGGTAGGACAACGCAGCCAGGAAAGAGTTGCAATGTTAGAACTGAAGCTCAAGCTTAACCCCCAGAGGGGAGGAAAGAGTTGCAATGTTAGAACTGAAGCTCAAGCTTAACACCCAGAGGGGAAAAAAAAAAAAAAAAAAACACACCACCAAAACACACAAAACCAGTTTTTATTTTTAATGCATGTCCTTAATCCACTGAGGCTTATAATGTAGTTTACTGCCTGCTGCCAGAGTTCTCCAGAAGGCTACATTTTATGGTATAGGGGTTAGTTAAAAAGCAAGAAGTCAGCTCAGTGTTTGTATGGCAAACTGTTCTTTCTCATCTTTTAGTTCTTATTAAGTCTTAAAAGAAAGCTTAAGCGTATGGATGCTTAGAACAGCTCAAAAACTGATACACCAGTCAGTTTTAGAGATGCGCTTCTCAGAAGGGACAAATGGGCCTCCTGTTTTATCAGGACGTTTATCACATCATTGTGTATAAATTGATACTGCTCGTTACACAGATATACTAGATAATTAGATGTGTGCACATGGGAGGGCATAGGGACAGAAGACTCTCTGCCCTGTTACTTATTGTGCTTAACCCAGGTGAGTCTCTAGCACAGGGTTCTTCAATCTTTCTGTCATTAAACCTGCATTTAACAGAGACACAAAGCACGTGTTACACAACTTGGGCAGCCAGGGAGGAAGAGCATTAGCAGCCACGAGGCAGGATTCAGCAGAGCCCTAGAGCAACCCAGCAAAATGGGCCCCGCCGTTTCCTTCTCACCAAAACCCTGGAGTCCTCACCCCACCCTTTGCTCTGCTGCTGGTGGTGTGGTGAGGCCCCAGCACAGAAACTGTTCTTGAACTGCTGGATAAGTGTTTGTGGTTCCAAGTTAAGTCACGCCCATGCTTAGGGATACTGCTTTATTCTACAGCTCACCAGAGTAGATCCTTGGCTGATCACTGCCAGCACAGTAAGACCACACTATCAGCTGAACAAACACTTAATGGTGAAATCCACAGCCCCCAAAATTACCAAATTACCACCAGGACTGCCAATTCTTCACTGGAGCAAAATTAATAACGACGACTCCAGGCTTTGTTAACCATGGTTAGGAAGTTAGCTGCGAATTGTGTAAGTTAAATCCATCTACAGTGAGGGTACACGAGAGCAAAACCAGCAGCCTTCAGTTCAAGGAAGCACGGTCCTTCTTTAAACATGCTCCACGATCCCTCCATTCTGCCCTCAAGACTGCACAAGACCTTTTTTGTATGCTTTAATCAGGACTGTGCTTCCCTGCCTTTTTTCCATACACCACATGTAGGTACTGGAAGGATTTCAGCTTAGGTGGGGGATTTTTTGTTCCACATTTTGCTAAGCTTGACTGCTTTGACCCTGATTAAATGCTAATATATCCTAACCACCTAGAAGTTGCAAAATACCACAGAATTAACATTTAGTAAATATTACTATAATGCTTGTGACCTCAAGACAAAAAAATTCTAAAATGTTCCAGTATAAATACTTGACCAGAACACCTACCGTTTTGTAAAGCTGTGCTTTCAGGCGGTATGAGTTGTATTCCATTTTTCTCTTCTCTTCCTCTCGCTTCTTCTGCACCTCTGGCAGCTGCTCATAGATCCTTAAGTGTAAATACAGAAAGTCAAAAATAGTGACTTGGAAGAAAGGAACTTCTTGATATATAAAAAAAATATATCCTCCATTTTATCTTCACATTCTGTTAAAGGCTACAGGCCAACCACATCATAAAGAAAAAAAATTATTTGGGGGTTTACTAGTGTCACACAGGGAAAACGTGGAACACACTGCAGTTGTGATACTGGAAATTCCCACATCCCGTAGTGCCTTTCTTTTACAAGCAGCACCCTCCTAAAAGTAGTATTTATAACATTAAAGTGACCATACAGCTGATATGATGCCCTAGCTGCAAAAGGCAGAGTTTCAATATCTTCAGTACAGAACAGCCCCGTCGCTTTGAGGATATGCTGATTCTGCGTAAGATATTTAACCACCAATAGCAATATTTTTACCACAAGAATAACCTGAGTTAAGCTATTTAGGCATCTTTTCAGTATTTCAGTATTTTCAACGTTCAACACTGTTGCCCTGTTTAGCTGGAAGTCTTGTCTTCTCCAGTGCTGAACTTCTCCCATGCCAGAGCCAAACACCATGGGATGCCTGGAACTGACCCGAAGGTGACGGGTGCTCAGCGCAGAGTCAGCGCACCGTTCTGGTCCGTTTTACGTGCTACCATCTAAAGGAGGGACCTGAGAGCTAGGATGGCAGTGTGTACTGCCCACACTGCCTTCCCCAAATCTTCCTTTAAAATCATAAAGCTTTATTAATTTCATGACAGCGGTTGCCAAGAAATAGGCAGCTTCAAAACCATTGCAGTTTACAGGAGGTAGAAATGAATGATGTTCAAAAATTCCAGTCCTGTAATATTTAAAGCAAGACAGATCCTACTATAACTCCTTTCTCAACATGCTGATTTGATAATCAGCAAATAGAGAAAAAGACTTGTTACAGATACAATAGTGCATTATACTCTTTTAGAGACTGTTTCATTCTTACGCCAGTACAGTTTCGTTGCATAATTACTGTTGGCACTTCAAATATTTTTAAACACATCCATGCCTTCAACTCATATTATCTGAAAAGTATTTCAACACGCTCCATTTTGAACATCGCAAATCAGTACAGCCCACCAGCCAGGAAGGGCATCTTTGACAGTTGTCTTGGAACTAATTCCAGCAGGAAAGTAAGTAATACTTCAGACTAGCAATAGAAGCAAGGGAAGCAAATGTGTATCAGTTTGCTATTTAGTCAGTGCAAGTTAGGTGTCACTTGTACGTTTCAAAGGACAGAAGGACGGGAAGTTAGCTGGAAAACCAAGTAATAGGAAGCTGTACGATAATGCATAACAAAGTAGGCAGAATCAAGAAAGCAAAGATCAAATCCAAATCTCAATTAGTACTGAATTTTATTTCCTGTCTAACCCACCAGCCATCAGCTAGGGAAAGCCATATGCATTTGTAGCCTTTACAATCCCCGCACACAAACATGTGTACCGATCCATCAGACTTCACAGTGGAATTGATAAGCAAACATATATCCAACACCAAAAAAAGGCAAAAAAAAAAAAAAGCAACTGCCCTCTTTCCAGTGACCTACCTTACTGTATATCCCTACTTTCCTACTCTGTCTGCAGCTGCTCTTAGGAGGTCACGTTTTCTAAAAGCATCACTACCCACATTACCGCTAGAGAAAAGAGGAAATAAATCACATTTTGATGCTTACTTTACTGCTCTTATGCTTTGCTGGAAGGCAGCAGAGGGTGCTAGGTCTATGCATGTGTTACTGGATGGGGGTAGGGATACCTCCAAAATTTTGGGTTTTGCTTTACTACCCTCTCACCATTCTCTAAAGGCTTTCACCATTCTAGGGCTCCCCTCAAAGAAAGATCAAGATTTACCCCTCACAGATAGTCCCACCATAAAAACGTTTAGAGCAAGAAGTGGGCAATGCAGAATTGTAGGTAAATTCATTGAAAATTGTTTTCATCACCTCCAGCTAATTTGCCATGAGAAATTCCATTTATACCCTCACAGAGAAAAAGAAAAAGCTTTTGCACTCATTATAGGTGTGGATTTCAAAAGAATGGTACAGAATAAATTACTTCTCAGCTCCAACTGAGAGCTGGAGTGTGACAGCAGCAAGAACAAAAAAAAAAGTCACCAAGCGTGACAGTCTGAATCAGTCTCCATAGAAGTCCTGCTGACTTCAGTTATTATGAAATCAGAGTTTCTGAAAATATATGAGTTCAGATATGTCAATCTCACAGTCCAAGTGACCCAAACCCAAATCAGCTAAAACATGTGGAGATGCGTTCCTTGGGGAACTACCACATTTACCACTTCTGCCACTTCTTGATGCCCTAAAAATACTTTTAAATGCCAAAAGCTATTGAAATAAAACATTATTTTTGGACTCTCCCATCATATATATATCAAGGGGTTTACTTTATACATTGCGTATTCCAGCAGATATTTTGTAGAATCACAGTGTAACTTTGGTTGGAAGGGACCTCTGGAGGTCACCAGCCCAACCTCCTGCTCGAAGCAGGGCTAACTTCAAGGCCAGATCAGGTTGCTCAGGCCTCATCCTCTCAACTTATGACTGTTTCCAAGGATGCACATTCGACCATCTCTGTGGACCCTGATCCACCACCCTGCTCGTGAAAAAAAAAAACATTGCCTTGCCTCCAGCTACAATTTCTCCTTACTGCAACACATCACCATGGCTGCTTGTCCTGTCACTGTGCACCTCCAAGCAGAGTCTTCCTCTGCCTTCTCTACATCCCGCTTCTGGCAGGGAAGCACCACTGCCAGATTCTCGCCTTCAGCCTCCTCCTCCCCAGGCCAAACCAACCCAGCTTCCACAGCTTCTCCTCATGCACCATGTGCTCCAGCTCCCTGACGGGGTTGGTGGCCCCCACCAGATGCAGGCCACTTTCTTGACCTCTCTCTTGTACTGGCAGCCCAGAACAGGAGACGGGATCCAGCTGTGGTCCCATGAGTGCCAAGCAGAGGGAATATCCACTTCCCTCCACCTGCATGAAACGCAGCGTGTAGCCGGCCTTCATCACTGCAAGAGCATACTGCCGACTCACGTTCAATTTGCTGTCCACCGACTGTCAGGCCACCAAGGACCTTTCCAGAAGGGCCAGTCCACAGGCAGTCTGTCCTCAGACACTGCCAAAGGGGGTGTCTGTCCTAAGGAGAGACCCGGTATTTGTCATTGCTGAACTTCATGAGATTCCTCTTGGCCCTTTCCTCCAGCCTGCAGAGATCTCTAGAAACCGCAGACCCACTCTCCAGCATACTGACCGGTCCTCCCAGTTCAGTGTGGCCTGCAAACCTGTTGAGGTGTGCTCCATCCCATTGCTACTACTGACGAAGACGCTGTGAAACAGTCCTGGCCCATAGCACAAACCCTTCCCTGCACGTAGCATGTACATTCCAAGACTTCAGTGCAACAAAGCACTTGCATATAGGCTGAAATCCCAAACGCTTCAAGTATCCCTTGCCTCAAGGTACACTCTTGACCTTTGCTTTGTTTTGACTCTAAATAACTTACAGTATCATTGTATTTTTATGTAACTTTACAAGTTATCAGAGACGACTTAGTGAGTCTCTAATTTACTTTCAAGTATTTATGCTGTTTCTCAACTGGTACTCTTCCAAACCACCTCCTCTTGACCCCCCTACCATTTCAGAATCTAGCTGCAATAAACTCCATTTTTTATTATACCTTTACATGCTCTCTCTGTAGCATAGACATTCCAAATGTTTAAAACATTGTTAGTGCACTGTGCATTTTATGTATGAATTACTTTGAGTCAAAAGTAAGGCAAAATCTATCATAAGGTGGTTTTCTTCAAGGGTAGAAGCCTCTATATTCCTCTGTGTGTCATTATTTCTTACATAAAGCTTCTTTATTTGGTGAAATGATGCCTGGCTTCCTGCACCAATTACCTAGTTTGTTAATGTTTAAAACTATACAGATGCTCTAGTGGCCCACACCCTACATTCCCTCTCTTTTCAGGATCCAGTACTTGCAGTTTGCTGTAGTGCTTGGAGGGTAGATACTGCAGCACAATACTCAGGTTTTGTTACAGAAATCATTTTTCAAAAATGATCTTGTTGCTCGGATTTTCTAAATAGGTGTTATGTCCCCCCGATAACTCAGCTTTTTCAGTGCACAACGTAGGCACCTTATCCCAAACACCCAACTCTTTGACTGCAGATACGATTCATCCATCTTTCCCACCCATTTATTCAGGTCACCTATATACCTGAAACAACGTTTTCTTAACCTTACCGTTTAGATCTTTGAACCATTTCACTCTTTGGAATTGTTCTTCTCTTTCCTCTAACCAAAAAGCCTAAATGGAAAATTTTGAGATAAGAGAACGGTGAACAAGTCTACTTCTCACAAAGAATACTACTGCAACAGTCCGACTCCTTTGTAAGTTATGGATTCTTAGAGACAATAATGTTAAATAATTGTAATGTTTTTATTAAAAATACACACACCCTTAAGTATAATGTGGAAATTCATTCATTCCTATAAATCGTAAAGAGCAGAACCATAAAGGTACCTCTGTCGGACAGCATGTGACTTGCGTTCCTGTAGCCCTTTCTTTTCTCCGGAGGATTAAATAGCTCTTCTCGTTCAGACTGCAGTACGCTCTGTATCCTCCTTTCCTCCATTACAAGCTTCAGATGCTTCACACGCTCTCCAGAGCGGGAGATGAAATCAGGCCGATGCACTGCAAGAGCCTCCTAAGATGGGATGACACAAAACAAATCCTGAAGTGGTCAGCCTGTCTCTCTACAGCTGGAAGGGAATAATCAAAATATCTAACACCATTACCAAAGCATGGTAAAAAAATCCCATCAAAGCAGTGTTTGGTATAACATATGAAATCTTCTCTCCTTAATGCTGGGTAGATCCTCAGAGACCTTGTTTAACAAACTATTTGTTAACAACCAGAAAATTAACTGCTAAAAAAAACCTGCTAAAATAATTAGCAAAAGGGATACAAACCTCTTCTCAAAAAAGCAGAGCAAAAAGATAACAAAGTTGAGCCCATAGGATAGAAGATTCTGTAACTTATTACAATCTCCCTTGTTATAAATCAGCGGACACATCAACATTAGCAATTTATTTTGGATCAGAAGTGGAATTTTGAAAGCAATCTCCCGATATCTCCGTTTGCCGCACTTCAATTTCCATCACAGGGCAGTCTCTGAGCACATGAACAAATGCAACTGAACCTAGAGAAACTTCAGAAGTGCACCTTAATTTGCACTTCCTAATTTCCATTTCACTTGCTCTGGACAATCTCTTTCAAAAAATATTTCTGTACAATACATCTGTATTTTTCCACAGATATTTAGAGCGATCACACTTTATCTGAAGCGTACACTGTATGTGTATGTATGTACACACACATACACTGTTTGCACTCTATGATAAATTAAAGCCCATTTTAATCACACGCTACATACATCACACAGTATTATTTCTGCATGGAAGGAAGTATGACTTGACACCACCTCAGCTACATTCCCTCTAGTTCCTGAAGCCAAATGATTTAAGCCCTAAAATATTAGGTCAATTCAAATATATTAGCATATTGTGGAAAGTCAGATTACCATAACCAAAGAGGACTGACAAGTTCATTGGTTTTCTCCATTTGTTTGGGGTTTTTTTTGGGGGGTAGGGGGGCAGGGGGAAGTTGGTTTTTTTTTTAAAGCAGGAGCTGTCTATAACATGTTGACTTCCACTGATTATAAAGGTGAAATAACAAAAAAAACCCAAAAACCACCCCAAACAAAAAACAACAGAGCAAAACATGTTTCCACAAGATTCAGCATTAGTCCTGAAATCCTACTGAGATCCCAGCAGCCTTATAGCACAGCGTGCCTTTACCTGTAATGTAAGCTTCACGAATGGTCGCAAGGACCTGTTCTCAGCATCTCTTTCTGGAACTGCTGGCTGAATCACGTTGCTGTGCTGCTGCTCTTGCCAGTTCTTCTCTCGGAGGGGCTCTCTCCAAGGCTTTGTGCTGGTCAATGGTTCAAACCAAGAGGGACCAGGACCAGAAAAGGAACTGGAATGGTTTTCTTTCCTAGATTCAGATTTCAAGTCTTCCGCTTGGACAAACCATGAAATTCCTGTTAAAAAAAAAAAAAAAACAGAAGAGAGAAAAGGATTTATAGACAATACAAATATTACAGACAATATTTTCCATCCCCATCTATGGTCCTTCATGCCCAAGGTCTTGGCTAAATACAATCAGTGGCCTAACAGTGCAATAAATACTCACTTCAGTTTAATAACAGTGGGACTCCATAGCAGACACCTTTGGCAGTTTCAAAAGAATTCCTTTGCCAAGTGTCAGAAAACCAGCAAGTCTTTATCAAACAACACTTTTGACAAGGCACAAAATGGCTTTGTTTGCAAGTTTCTCTCTTTATAGAAAGAACAGTTATTTATCAGCAATTGCAAATTTTTCAGGAGCCTCTGTGCTGTCTTAAGCCCTATGGCTTTTTATAGATTATTTCTGAAGATCAAATGCTTTACATCTTCCAAATGTTAAGTATGTATACAAGAATTAGATTACTCACAGTTTACATACATAATGGGATTTGAAAACATCAGCTAGTATTCTGAGCAGATATTCTAAATTTTCTAAATTAAACCGGTATGAGAAAGAATGATTTGTCCCTACAACAACAATAATGATGACTAAGGAAAACATTTTTAAACATGTAATCATGACATTGTGAAGACTGATGAGAAATTTAAAAAAAGTCAGGAGGCTACACCATCAGCCCAAAAATGCAACTCTAACTAGAGGGAGACGAGTCTAATTCTTCTGGTACCACAATCTTCCCTCAAGTACCCCTGAAAAAACACTTGTTCTTTGAAGCCTCAGTACATGAAACAGTTAAGTACAACTTACAGGGACCAGTTACTCAGAGCTTAACAGAACCTTTTATACCTTGAAAATCAAAATTAAGTATCTACACGATTCCCATCTCATTCACCTTTCCTTGCCTTATTCATTGCTTCCTATTTACTACCTTTACTGGCCAGGCTGCATCTAACAGCTTGATGGAAAACGCCATCATAATAGAGCACGAGAGAGCTCACTTGACATAGTGGTTTTGTTTCAAATTCATTGATTAAAAACAGAATTAAGAACGGACCGTACTAGTGACAGACTACTCTGTGTCCTAGCTAATCCTCCTCACATATTTTGCTGGTTGCTGTTGAGATGTACAGCTTTTCTGGTCTGCAGAGAAAGTGTATTTTGGACTGACCTTGTGGTAAATGCAGCCTGCTCCTTTTCGTCCTTTTCTCCACGAAAAAATCGCCTGGCTGTCCCTTCTGCTTACCCTTGCTTCCTGCTGCCTGATGATCTGTGACCGTACCATCTGACTCTCCAAAAATACGATCAACACAATGCCAGGGTTCCTGTGGCCGTTGATTTGGCTGGCTAGATCTTGGGGTAGGAAAAGTGACACCAACATCTCGAGTGTTTTTCTTAGTTGCACTGTTCACAATTTCCAAGTCTCCTGTAGTTGAAAATGAAGCAGTAACATCTTATTCCAGAGCAGCTGAAAGAACTTCAACATCAGCACGTGTGACATGCATAGTTCAAGGGGCGACCTTCAATTTTTACCTTGAAGCTGAAGGATCACTTTCTTTATCCCACCTTCAAAAGGCAAAATCTTTTATATTCCCCCTTCCAATTCAAGGAGAGTTTAGAGTGAGTCACGATTGTTACTATATGATAGTCTGAGTAAAATTAAAGTGGTGTAAACCAAATACCCCAAGCAAAACAAGCATATGTCTATATATATATGTACACACACACATATGTATGGGGGGCAGGAATTAAACTGGAACCAACTTTGCCCCTTGCTGGGGACCCGAGTTGACTCTCTGAAGAGTCAACTTCAAATCTGCTGCTGAAAGACACAATGCCAGGTCAACATACAGCTTTACATTTTGGACAATGGAACTGCAGGTTTTTCTGGACCTGTTCCTTTACCCAGTGCATCCCATCCAAAACTACGTTTTAGCTACAGAAGATTGGTTTTCCCACAGCACGACAAATATTTAACAGAAACGTATAAAGTGGAAGGTGTCGACTAACATTCAAAAAGTCATAATGCGATCTTGAAAACAAGCCACAAAAATACTTTTCTGATTCAATCCACTTGCACATGGGGAAAAAAGGCAGTAAAAAATAAATAATTGCTACGTCTGATGAATAAAACAAAGCCATTACTCAATCTGATCATAGGATGCTGGCGTGTAAATGAAAGCAACGAAGAAACTGATAATTGCCACCAGAAAAACCCAAATGCTGAACTGCACCGGTCCACAATCAGCTTATGTTTTAAATAGAAGATAACATCCAAAATATTACCAAGAAGGATAGGCAACACTGCAGTTGCCTTCTGAAATAGCATATGCCTATAAAATACATTTTGTGAGTAACAGATGTCTTGTGGAGAAAACAATATATATAAAAATACAGTTAGTCCACCTTTGCTACTGAAATGTATCAGAAGCTTAGGTTAACAAACTTGTAAGTGAGAAACCTGGCTACTAAAGCAGATCAAGAAAGGAAATGAAATGACTCGTTTTAATTAGAATACAACATCTTTCTCTAAAAGCATTTGAAGTGAATTTGAAGAATGCTTCTTGTACATACCTGTCACCAGAAGCATGCAACAGACCTGGGAGAATGGTTTCCGAAGAGAGAAAAGGCAGAAGCAAATACAGAAAAGACAAATCTGGAATTCAACAACTCACCTACTTGGATACCTTTGTTTAGCATCCGTGTCCGCCGCTTGTTACTAAGAGCAGAGCTTGGCCCCCAAGAGCTGCTGCTTGCAGAAGCTGAATCCGATGAAAGGGAGATGGCATTCTAGGGAAAAAAAAACACGTAAGAGAACAGAAATTGCTGAAATACTAACCAAAATGAACAGGAAGTGGGTTTTGAACAGAGAAAAAGTTATAGTCATCACTTTTTACTCGTTGTCCCTTGATTCTCTTGTTATTTAGATACTTATCACAGGCTGATCAGGGTCTCTTATTGCTATGCCACACAGCAGCCAGCCTTGACTTTATCCTCATGCACCAATGCGCTTTCAGCATCCCATCCGAGTAAGAAAAGCGCATTGTATCTGTAGGCAAGAGCTTGCCTGTGATCCGATTCTGTACGGTGCTGAGCATCCTCGAATTCAATCGTCCAGAGTTCATGGGACAGTGTGGCCTGTCAAGACACACTTACAGAAAACCTTTGCTGCGGCAAGATCTTTTGCTGGCTGTACTTTCATGAGAGACTACGAAGTGTGAAATAGTTCTGCTTTGGAAAGAGGGAGAACAGACATCTAAACTGGATCCTATATTCCTACCCTCTCAAACCAAAAGCCTTTAAAGGTTGCTGGGCTTGCTGAAGGGACAAACTGCCTTGAAAGATTAACATGTTGCTTTGTAATTTCACAACGAACTCCGGTTCTGTCCCACTGCCATGAAAGAGCAAAATCCTTTCAAAACATGGGAAGTTCTCTCATGCTGTCAACCTCATTACACAAAGTTCTCCAGGTGGAGAAAATTAAACTCAATAAAAACAAGAAATAGAAGACACGTGGTAAGATCATGGCTTAGGCAAAATACTAGTTTCACATCTTCACCATTCACACAAACCGAAGTTCCAGCTGCAGGGATGTAAGCAGCACAACTTTGTTACAATAAATTAATTTCAATTTTATGACATGCTATAACTTTACAGCCATTTAAAAAGGAATATATTCTGTAAGTGTAATGCATCTAGTCCACAAGCTTTTTGGTTATATAAAGTACAGAGGTTAGTGCTTCATTAACAGCAATTAACTGACAGTGCTTCCCCAGGCTTCAAATCCAACCGTGCGGCACAGACCAATCTCTGCAACTCCGCTGAATTTAATTTTTAATTATGAAAAAGATTTTTTTTCCTTGATCATAGCCATTAGTATCCTATTAGTAACTCATAACGCTATCCACGATGGAAATGAACAGAGGCGTTTTTATTACCTTTTTATTGAACCTCTGCTATCATCACTTCAATGCAAAACATAATTTCATTTCAACATTAAAAGGAGGCAATTTTTACTCTCACGCATACTGGCAAGAACTGTTTTTTAGTTTCATAAAGCTGTTTCAGCTCTAGTAGAGTGCACTAGACAGATGTAGTAGATATGTATCTTCTTTCAGAGAACAGAAGCAAATTGAACTATGTGCTCAGCAAAAGGGAAGAGAGTACAAAGTAAGGAAAAAAAACCCGATACCCCATTTGCATGCACATGCATATCAGCCGGCAGAAATAAATACAAGCAGCCATTCAGTACTGAATATTGACATGCATATTCCTATTTGGACTAGAATATTCAGTGCAGTGCTTTCAAAGCCCTTCAGCAGTTGAACAGCGCAACCTTTAGCTTTGTACCTGCTACCAGATGGCAGCTTGAAGAATGCTTTAGAAATAACAGAAACTGGAATAGATAAAAACCTTCTGGGATGGGTTCAGCATATCTATAAATAAAAAAGAGCTGTAACCAAGTTTTCTGGAAGCAGGGCTGACAATAGGCTCTCATAAAAAACACCCCTGAGCTACAAAACGCAGCACTTGCCTGGAAGATTTGTACAGTAGTCTCTCTAGGAGTAGGGCTCCTGCTATAAATAAATATCTGTCTCAACCACAGATATTTGCAACTAAAAAACGAAAAAATAAATCCTGATTTCTGTTCAGCCAAGCATCACAGAAATTACCAAAATTTGGATTTGAAATTGTTTGCCATTTTGCCATCAATTTTCTCTCACTCTTTATTTGAGGTGGGTCATGTGTCTCTACATGTAATTTTAAAAAGAACGCTACATCAGCAGCTAAAAGACACTACTTTCTAAAGCCATATGGGTTCAATGCAACATCAAGCACCAGAAACAGTGAGCCTTTATTCTCATCTAAGTATTACTGCCATCAGTTATCTCATGGGAGATTTTAACAGGCAAAAGACTAGATGTTGTTTTGAAGGTCCAAACAGACATTGAAAGACTAGTCTTATGGATGGAATATGGCATAAAATCATCTCCTAAATGCTACAACCATGCAAGAAATGTTGGATCCTGCTTTCATTGTTAGGTGGTCAGTGTTCTGATTAATAGTCCTAATGTTGCAAGGTTTATGACAATTTTATTTTACCTTTAAATAAATCTTATAAATAAAAATATTA